ATATATATATATATATATAATATAATATATATATATAATATATATAGATGTATATATATATATAGTATGTATGTATATATATATTAATAATGTGTATATATATATAGTGTATATATGTGCATTTGTGTGTGTGTGTGTGTGTGTGTGTGTGTGTGGTGTGTTGTATGTGGTGTGTGTGTGTGTGTGTATAATATATATATATATATATATATATATACTATATATATATAATATATATATATAAGTATATATATATAATATACATATATATATATATAATATATATAATTTATTTATATATATATATTTGTATATATATACTATATATAATAATATATATAATATATATATATTATATATATATATATATATAGATATGTATGTATATATATAGTAATATAATATATATATATATATAATATAATATATATATGTATAGTATAGTATATATTGTATAATTAATTATTGTATATATATGTAATAATACTAAATATAATAATAATATATACATAATGTATATGTATATATATATATATATATATATATATATATATAATTATATATATATATATATATATATGTGTGTTGTGTGTGTGTGTGTGTCTGTGTGTGTGTGTGTGTGTGTGGGTGTGTGAATGTATGTGTTATATGTATATGTTTGTATATCTCCAAAGAGTAGCCTCAGCCATCTCTAGCAGACTTCAGCTCTCGGTAATAGAGGCTACTCTAGTCAATGAGTGTTTAGTGGTTTTGAGACAAAGCTTGCATTTGGGCTTCATGTCTCTTGTCATGTGCGCTACTACTGATGTTTGTAAATATGAAAATGTTTTATGCTAAACTCGCAACTGTGATGGACAGTTGTCTGCAGTGAGATATTCGTATTGTTCTTGGTGACTTCAGTGCGGTATCTGGCTACAATCGAGCTAGCTATGAGGTCTGTTGGTCCTTATGGTTCAGGAGTTAGTGCCAGCAGCGAGAATACCCTTTTTTCCGGGACTTTGCTAAGGTCTCAGAAATGAGGATGGACTTTGGTATTTCTGGATCTTGGTACCAGGGTTCTGACCCGCATTGTTGGATATGGTACAGTGATGCTGGTAATGCAGCCAAAGAATTTTCACCTCATCTCTTAGCACTCTGAGGATCCTCCAGAACTGCAGGGTATATCAGAGAACCGAGTTCTGTGGTACTGATCATAGATTAGGTGTAGTTACCCTCGGGGTCCACTCTTCAAAACTCCCCTCTGTCCAATGATCTCCTTAGGGTGTTTCATGTGGACAGGTTGAGGTAGCGTGCCCGAGGGTTTCTGGTCGATTCACAGGGCTCAGCAACCTGACGATCCATATACTTCTGTGGGACACCTTCAAACGTGACCACGATGCAGCCCAAGCATCGATTGGTGAACACCCAAGAGCAAGACAGAATTTTATCTCGCAGGAGACACTGGAAGCCACTGAAGTTTGTTGCGCGGCTCGTTTGACATAGAAGATTGAAAGCCATTTTTTAGTAAATGACCTTCATTTCGCCTACTAAGCCCTGAGAAAGCTGAAGTCCATGCCTTCCTCACAGGCGACTGCAATCCGCTCAGTGAGTGGCCAGATCATCTCAGATCCTGTTGGCGTGTGGGAACATAGGCCGAGTATTTTGAGCAGCTGTACCAGGTTGATCCACCAACAGTTAACTTGAAAGTGGATAATGTCGAGACTCCATTGTTAGACCCACCCATCAGTGAGGATCCACCCTCCTTAACAGAAGTTAGGCGGGCGATCTCCAAGCTAAAGACTGGTAAAGCAGTGGGTATCAACAGCATCCCAGCTGAAATGTTAAAGGCTGCCTGTGAACCTATGATGCAGGAATTGCATGCTGTATTGGCTGCCATTTGGCAGTCCGGTACCGCCCCCCTTGACCTGTTGAGGGGTGTGGTCATCCCTCTCTGGAAAGGAAAAGGGTATTGATGGGATTGCAACAATCACTGAGGTATTACACTGCTCAGCATATCAGGCAAGGTTCTTGCTCACATCCTTCTAAGACGTATCAGAGACCACCTGCTGAGGCGCCAGAGGCCGGAGTAATCTGGATTCACTCCTGGTAAGTCCACAATAGACTGTATCCTGGCGCTTCGAATCACCGTGGAGTGCCGTGGAGTGGGCGTGGGCTGCTTACAGATTTACATCGACCCTCAAAAGGATTTGCTATGGGTGCAACCAGGAATCCCTCTGGGAAATCCTGAGATTGAGAGGAATTCCAATAAGGATTATTGGATTAATAGCAAATCTGTATATTGGTACCGAAAGTGCTGTAAAGTGTGGTGTAATGTAAGTAAGCCTGTCGAGCTTCTTTCCTGTTCCTGTGTCGGATGCATGGCTCTGGTTGACGTAAAACAAAGATGTCAAGATTAGTAAAAGTAGCTTAAAATTAATATTAAAGTTAAAGTAAAGCAAAGAGATAAACCCCAATGAACCCAGCAAAAATTCTAACGTAAAACCAGCAAAGATCTAACGTAAAAGGCCATACATATCAAAACAAAAATAAAATGAAATGAAGGATTCTAGTAAAAATAGTTCAAAGGGATAATATCAAGCTTATATATATATTATAATATATTATTATATATAATATTATATATATATATTATGAAAAAGATATATATAAAAAAAATATATGGACAGATATATAATGGCAAAATAGGAATCTGTTTTCTCTCAGATGTCTCGGGCTTGAGTGGCGCTCCTTTCGCTATTGTGCAGTGACATCAGCGTGCAATGGCAGTTGCAGCAAACAAGCCCTTTCCTCTTGTGCAGAATCATGTGCCGTGTTCATTTTCCTCTTGTTGACATATGTTATAAGCCATATCTCAATTGCAGTGGGTAACGAAGGGTTTTTCATGTCGGACTGCGGGAACACGAGGGGAACCTCAGCATTCCACTCGCTACAGATCGATCAAATCTGTCGTGAAGAGTTTAAGATGGGCCGAGTTCCTGCCTGGCGACTCGCCATGAGGGACCCTCGCAGGTGGAAACAAAGTGGACGCGGCTATGCGCCTCCGTCAGCGTTAGATCCCCAAATGTAATGTGTGTGTGTGTGTGAATGTATATATACATATACATACACATATATAAATGTATGTATAAGTTTATATATAAATAAAAATCTGCCGTATATATTATGTATATTTATATACATGTATATATATTATATATATATATAATATATATATATATATATATATATATATATATATATATATATATATATATATATATATATATATATATATATATATATATATATATATATATATATATATATATATATATGTATGTATGTATGTATGTATGTGTATATTATATATATATATATATATATATATATATATATATATATATATGTCTTGTGTTTGTGTGGTGCAAGTTTGTATATTCTTAATCCTTCAGCGCATTCCGCGGCTTCACGCGAGGTTGTATTTCTCTTAGCCTGTCTCAAAGCCCCCCCCCCTACCCTCCGACCCGCAAGCGGCGCAGAACCGCAGGCAACGACTGGCGCCGCAAGCGCCATCCGCCTGAAGGCCTCCCTCCGCGGCCGCCCGCGCTGCTGCGGCTTCGCACTCGCGCTGTGATGCCCCGCGGCCGAGCGAGGCTCCGCGGCCAGAGACGGACAGTTGTAAGGTCGACGCTCCCTTCGCGGGAGCACGGTGGTTTCACCTCTATGGCGCGGCGGCGGCGTCCTGAGGGGGAGCGGGTCACACGCGAGGCGGGCGGCGTCTTGGGGGCGGCGGCGGCGGGGCGCGTGTCAGACGCAGAGCCTCGGCGCGCCCGGACGCTCACGCTCTCCGCCAGCGCCCAGCGGTCCCTGCGGCAGTGCCAGGCCAGTGCCTCTCTCACGCGCCGCGGCACTCGGGCGGCACGTCGGCGGTCAGCTGCTGACGCGGGAGAGCAGGGAGGACTCGGGTCGGCGGCAGCGCGAGGCGGAGGGAAGGCCGGAGGAGGAGAGCGGCGGAGGTGAGTGAGGCGGAAGGGAGGGAAAGGGAGGAGAGGGAGCGAGATGAGAGAGAGGAGGCGGGAGGGGGAGGAATGGGAGGGCGACGGGTAGGGGAGGCAGGGCTCGTTGCGCTGCCTCTTTCACACGTGTGTGTGTGTGTCTGTCTACATGTATGCATGTACACAACTCGCGTACTTATTATCTCAACAACGTCAGTCCAAGCCTCCCCCCCCCCCCCATTCCCCTTCCCGAGCGATAAGCTCTTTTATGAATGGATTTCCGTGCGCGGGGAAGCAGACTCGCGCAAACCACGCTTTCGCTGACATACGACTCCGCAAATATCAATGAGCGTTACACGCAGAATCTCCATAAAGTCGACGCAAATCGCTGGGTTTTGGCTGAGATCCTGATCATCAAGCAGAGGTGCTTGTCGCCACGAAGTGTCACGTGACCTGCTGGCTGACGGTTTCTTTGTTTGTGTGTATATATGTGTGTGTTTATGTATGTTATTTGTCTGTATGTATATGTCCCTAAGACTGAGTTTTTGTCCGTGCGTGCGCGCGATGCACGCCCCTGCACGAGGGTGCGCCCGCAGTGGGCGTGCGCGCCCGTCGCCGAAGTCGCCCCCAAGGAACGGAAGTTTTCGCTGACTGCGGCGGAGGCGTCGCCGTGGTTCGTCGCCGACGCTGGCAGACACATTCGATTATCGAAAACTTTACCGGATTATCTGCAAGGATATCAAGAAAGCCAGCTTTTGTGTTCGGGATAAATAACTCCGAATGGCCGCCGAGTCGGGTGCGCGCGCGCAAGTCCGCTCGACGGAAACGTTTCAGGAATATCGCTTCGCATTTGCGGTTCCCGCCATCATGCTTCCGCCATGCATTCTCGAAGGCTTCTCTTTCAGGTGCATTTTATCATTTGATTTTTGTTGCATTTTTTCATGGAGGGATTCCTCCGCCTTTTCTGTTCATTTTCTATCCCTTTGTCAATATCAGTATTGGAATGTCATGCGAAGGAAACGAAGATCATAACAGAGTGACCAGGAGGAGGATGCCAACAGCAGCGTCACCCATCACAGCATAATAACCATCCTCTTTACCACAACAGCCCTTCGTTGGGTGGCTCCCAGCCCTTTTCATCCCAGCCCTTTTCGTTGGGTGGTCCCAGCCTTTTCGTTGGGTGGCTCCCAGCCTTTTCATTGGGTGGCTCCCAGTTTCGTTGGGTTCCAGCCCTTTTCGTTGGGTGGCTCCCAGCCCTTTTCGTTGGGTGGCTCCCAGCCCTGGGTGGCTCCCAGCCCTTTTCGTTGGGTGGCTCCCAGCCCTTTTCATTGGGTGGCTCCAGCCCTTTTCGTTGGGTGGCTCCCAGCCCTTTTCATTGGGTGGCTCCCAGCCCTTTTCATTGGGTGGCTCCCAGCCCTTTTCGTTGGGTGGCTCCCAGCCCTTTTCGTTGGGTGGCTCCCAGCCCTTTTCATTGGGTGGCTCCCAGCCCTTTTCATTGGGTGGCTCCCAGCCCTTTTCATTGGGTGGCTCCCAGCCCTTTTCGTTGGGTGGCTCCCAGCCCTTGGTGGCTCCCAGTTGGGTGGCTCCCAGCCTTTTCGTTGGGTGGCTCCAGCCCTTTTCATTGGTGGCTCCAGCCCTTTTCTGCCAGCCCTTTTCGTTGGGTCCCAGCCCTTTTCGTTGGGTGGCTCCCAGCCCTTTTCGTTGGGTGGCTCCCAGCCCTTTTCATTGGGTGGCTCCCAGCCCTTTTCATTGGGTGGCTCCCAGCCCTTTTCATTGGGTGGTTCCCAGCCCTTTTCGTTGGGTGCTCCAGCCTTTTCATTGGGTGGCTCCCAGCCCTTTTCGTTGGGTGGCTCCAGCCATTGGGTGGCTCCAGCCCTTTTCATTGGGTGGCAGGGTGGCTCCCAGCCCTTTTCTTGGGTGGCTCCCAGCCCTTTTCATTGGGTGGCTCCCAGCCCTTTTCATTGGGTGGCTCCCAGCCCTTTTCATTGGGTGGCTCCCAGCCCTTTTCATTGGGTGGCTCCAGCCCTTTTCTGGCTCCCAGCCCTTTTCATTGGGTGGCTCCCAGCCCTTTTCATTGGGTGGCTCCCAGCCTTTTCATTGGGTGGCTCCCAGCCCTTTTTCATTGGGTGGCTCCCAGCCCTTTTCATTGGGTGGCTCCCAGCCCTTTCATTGGGTGGCTCCCATTGGGTGCTCATTGGGTGGTCCCAGCCCTTTTCATTGGGTGGCTCCCAGCCTTTTCATTGGTTCCCTTCGGTGGCCCCGACCAACATGTGTCTCCATTCAGACAGTTATTGCTAGTTATGAACAGTAGTTGTATGAACGCACAATAAAGATCGAATGATAGTTATGAACGAATGACTTTCTTATTGCTCCAAGGGCCCAGAAAGTACCCTGTGGCCCCCGGGGGCGCATGTCCCTTCGATTGGGAGCCGTGTCTCACAACTTTGAAAAAAGTCAATCTTGTTCGCTGTGACTCCGGCCTCTGGCGAAGCTTCCCCTCCAGCGGCCGTCGGTTTCCTCCTCCCTCCGTGCGACGCGCACCGGCTTCCCTTGCGCAATCCGGCGCCAAAAAACGAAAGCCTAGCCCTAAAAAGTTAATCCTTCGTGATGAATTAATAATCGGAGGAGCCGCGTTGCAAAAGGCAGGTTGTTGCGAGAGGGATTGCAGCGCGACGGGCCGCGGTCTGGCGCAGTTACAACAGCTCGGATTTATGTGACGCGATGATAACGCGACGACGCCGTCAATGACCGAGTCCTGACGAGGTGGGCTGGAAGGGACGGCGCTGTGGTGCGAAGGAGCGGTACGCGATGCAGCTGTGGCATGCTGGAGCTCCAGCTCAATGGAGTCCTCCCGTGACGGAGTTGTGCATGATGGATTGCTGCCGTGATGGAGTAATGGCGGCCTCCCTCGGCACCCTTTGTCGAGGTGGGCGGCTCAGCGACGCTCCGTTAATCACATGAGGTTCTCGGCTTTTGCTTTGATTCCTTTTCTGTTGATTTGCTGGCGAGGAGAAGGGAGTCGGAGGCGGACGATCGATCCCCGCTCTCTCTACGGTGCTTCCTTCCATCTTCATTGTTTATTTAGGAAATGATCTCGTGACAAATCAGCGGTGGGCGTGACTGGAAAGGGAATTCAGAATCAGATCAGGTGACATAACTGAAACCAAGACACAAAGAAAGAAGAGATAAAGCAGTTGAAAATGATAAAGAAGAGATAAAGAGGTAAGAAAGTGGAAAGAGAATAGATAAAGCAATTGAAAGAGATAAAGAAGATATAAAAAAGATAAAGGAGCTGAAAGCTAAAACAGCTCAGAGGCAAGCGCCGCCCTCACTCGTGGCCAATTTCACTCGCAAATTCCTCCGCTTAACATTTGTCATCCTCGGCCGGCGTGCGTGCGCTGCGTGCGTCGCGAAGGTGTGTCCGGCAAAGTGTCTTTGGGGAAGACCCGCGATTAAGCCATTTGTCTCTAAAAGGTCTTGCGACCATGAACCGCGCCGCGAGAATTGCATCGATGTACAGTTTCAGCAGAAGAAAACGTGTCAATTATTCAGTCAGTTACGCAGTCGGAGCTTATTCATATTTAAGATATCTTTTATTCTATTCTGCTTTTGCACTTGCACAAAGTGGATAAGAATTAAGAATGCAGAGATGAGGAATATCGCTTCTTGTCTGCCTGCATCCTTTCGGAACTTTGTAAAAGACCTTTTATCATCTTTTGCATCAGTGATGGTGTGATTTTGATCAGTATTATTAATGGGAGAGAGAGCGAGAGGGAAAGGGAGAGAGAGAGAGAGAGAGAAAAAGGGGAGAGAGAAAGAGAGAGAGAGAGGGATAGAAGGAAAGGAGAGAGAGAGGGATAGAAGGAAAGGGGAGAGAGAGAGAAAAAAGAGGGGAGGAGAGTGAAAGAGAGAGAGAAGGAAAAGGAGAGAGAGAGAAGGAAAGGGAGAAAGAGAGAGAGAAGGTGGTCGTGAGAGAGAGAGAGAGAAAGGGAAAGGGGGAGAGAGAAAGAGAGAGGGATAGAAGGAAAGGGAAAGAGAGAGAGAGGAGAGGGAGGAGGAGAGGGAGAAAGGGAGAGAGAGAGAGAAGTGGTCGTGGTGGTCGCGAGTCGTCTCCTCACCCGGGACTCGAAGGGGTCTCGTCGGGAGCGTGTGCGTGTTCGTGTGCGGTGTGTGTGTGTCAGCGTAGGTGTGGGCGCGGGCGGCCGCATTTCCCTCCCAGGAGCGGATGGGCGTGCGGGGCGCGGCGAGGGCGACGGGCCAGAAAGGGCGCCGAGAAGTCCTCTCCCTTCGGCTCGAGAGACTGGTCACGTGACTCCTGGCAATTAAGGCCCTTCACCCTCCTCCGCCGCCCGCACGGCAGCGCCGCCTCTTCCTACCCCTCCTCCTCCTCCTCTTTTCTTCCTACGCCTCCTCCTCCTCCTGTTCCTCCTATTCTCTTCCTATCCTTACTCATCCTCTTCTCTTCCTCTCCCTCCTCCTCCTCCTCTTCCTATTTCTTCTCCTCCTTTTCCTCCTTCTCGTCCCTTCCTCCACCTCCTCTTTTCTTCTTCTCCCTCTCCTCCTCTTCTCTTCCTATCCTCGTCCTCCTATTAGTCCCCTTCTCTTCCTATTTCTTCTCCTCCTCTTCTCGTCCTATCCCTCCTCCTCCCCCTCTTTTCTTCCTATTTTTCCTACTCCTTCCCGTTCCTCCTCCTCTTCCTGTTTCTCCTCCTCCTCTTCTCTCCTCTCCTCCTTCTTCTCTTCTCTTCTTTCTCCTCCTCCTCCTGTCCCTTCTCTTCTCTTCCTATTTCTCCTCCTCCTCCTCTTCCTCCTCCTCTTTCTCCTTTTCTTCTCTACCGTCTCCTCCTCTTCCTTCTCCTCTTTCTCCTCTTTTCTTTCTACCGTCTCCTCCTCTTCCTCTCTTCCCTATTTTCCACCTCCTCCCCTTCCTTCTTCGCAATCTTCCACTTTAGTCACTTATTTTCATTCCCTTCTTTCCTTTCTGTTTCCTTTTCCTTTTTTCTTTCCCTCCTCCATTCCCTTTCTCTCTCTCTCTCATTCCCCGCCCTTCCTCCTCCTTAACCTTCCTTGTTTCATTCTCCTCATAATCATCCTCTTCTCTTCCTATCCTTCTTCCTCCCCTTCTTCTTCTTCCTCTTCTACCTTCTACTATTTTTCTTCCTCCTCTTCGTCTTCTTTTCTTCATATACCTGTTCCTCTTCTTCTTCCTCTTCTCCCATCTCTCCTTTTCCTAAGTGGTCGCCTAATCCTCCTCCTCTCCCACATTCTTCGCATCAGTCTCATCCTTTCTCCTCCTCCTTAGATTATTTTCCATCCTTCTCCTCTTCTTTTTCTTCTTTCTAATTATTCTCATCCCCCACTCTCTTCTACAGTTATTCTAATCTTCCTTTCCCACTTATTCTCTACTTCTTCTATCTCCCCCTCCTCGCCTCCCCCCACACTAGTTCTCCTCCTTTTCCTCTTCCTCTTCCTCTCCCTCTTCCTCCACCTCCTCCTCCCTCCCTCTTTCTCCTCATCATCCTCATCCTCATCCCCCCCCTCCCCCTCCCCTCCTCCCTCCTATTCTTTCATCCTCCTCTTCCTCTCCCCCCCACTATTTTCCTCCTCTTTCTCTTCTACTTACTCTTCTTCCTCCTCTCCCTCTTCTTCCTCTTCCTCCCTCCTCTCTCTTTCTCTTACTTTGCCTCCTCTCCTCCTCCTCCTCCTCCTCTCTCTCCTCTATTTTCCTCTTCTTCCTCCTCTCTCTCCTCCCCTCTCCCTCCTCCCCCTCCCTCCTCCCCCTCTCCCCTCCTCCCTCCTTCTCCCTCCTCCCCCTCTCCCTCGTCCCCTCTCTCTCCTCCTCTCCTCCTCCTCTTCTCCTCTCCTTTCGTCCCCTTCCCCACTTTTTTCCTTTTCTTTCTCTCCCTCCTTCTCCTTTCCCTGCTCCTCCTCTTCCTTTCCCTCTTCGTTTATTTTCCTCCCCTTCCTCTTCTCCCTTTCCCTCCTCCTCCTCTCCCTCCTCGTCTCCCTCGTCTTCTTTACCATCCAATCATTCACCTGCTAATCCCCGCTTAATCCCCAGCAGGTCAAGCAGGCAGCGCCGCGCCCTCGGCAGCGAGGCGAGAGAATCACCGCAGCCGAGATCCGAGCAGGAGGTTCGCTCGAGAGGTTCAACTCGGGAGGTTCGACAGGAGATTCAGCCCAAAGGTTCAGTCAAGAGGAGACTCCACTCCCTCGCCAGAAGCTTGTTGGCGGTTCACTCCTTTCCTGATGGAACCGGCTCAGTACGAGGTGAGTGGCGACCCCCCCCCCCCCCTCGGGCGAGGGGCTCTACTCCAGCGCCAGGGAGAGCCTCTCGGAACTGTAGATCCTGAAACCCAGCAGGTTCTCAGGTAGATCTTAAGGCGTTGCGGAGCTGCGCTGGGCGAGGGGCTGCCTCGGGCCCCGGCCTTCGCTGCCGGGTGTGTGGCCTCTCGCGCCGGGTTCGCCCGCCTGCGCAAGAG